TTTACGGTCCACCCAAGTTTTCAGAAATTACAAGGGAGAACGTAAGTTTTTTCATTTTCTATCACAATTGTGTAAGGTTTCCTGTGATGAGTTCCTTTTTCTAAAGTTTAGTGATATCGTAGCCTCTTTGCTTAAAAAGCCTAATAGAAAAGCATTTTAAAAATAAATGATGTTGTTTGTATAAGTTGGGTATTCATTTTTAATAGAGTCACAGAGTAAATTCTCCAATATTTATTTTACTAATATTTTGAGTTCCATAAGTGTCCAGTTTGGATCTAACGACATGTTTATTAGGACTTGATTTTGACATAGAATGATGTTTGATTCTGTATTTTAATTTTTTTTAAAGGACATTACATGTTGGCTGAGAGTGATCTTTAATTCTGATATTTTCAGTGCTATTTCAGCTGTGGATAGCTCCAGAAAAATAGCTGTTCTTTAAAATATGGGTTTATTTCCTGCTTTAGGTTTTGAAGAAAATGAGCAGATTCTACAGCCTTCCATGGAGGGGTAGTTTCTCCCTTAAGATATTTAACAGATCTCCACGTCAAAGCTTTATTCCATCTTCATTGTATTCTGTAATCATTTGTGTGTAGCTGTGGTTTCAGGGACCCTTTTTTTCTACTCCTTCCCATTTCCATGATATAAGACTAGATTTTTTTTCCCTTCCAAAACTAGATTAAGATAAAGCTGATTAAGCTTAGTATACATTCACAAATATTATCAGTGGTTTGTGAAAATATACTTATTGATATATATGCTGTTATGAGGTCTGGGAGGTAAGAGTGGTTACTAGAGATCTAGAATAAACGAGCATTTTCCTGTATAGTACAAGCTTCTCTTAAAAAAGTCATTGTAGCCCAGAATTCATAGGCTTCATTACTATGCAAAGATTCCAGGCTTTGCTAAGGTAGCCAGAGCTACTACCTTAATGACTGAGTTAATGACTTTGAGTTAAACAGCACTTGGGAAATTAGGCTGCTTTCTCATATATAAAAAAGTAATAAGATCAGGGCCAAAGGAAAGCTTACCTGAAATGGTAGACATGATCAGGAATATATCTGGGCTAAAAGAATCTGTGAGTTTTAATAAAATAGGCACTTCATTCCTATATTTCTGCCAAATGGTAGTTTCAGTCAAAATCTCAAAACAATGGAACATGTGAAAAGGAAGAAAGGATCTAAACTTTTTATAAGGATAGTGGCTGGACACATTTTAAAGTATATCTTATTTTTAGCATCTGTAGAAATCTGTGTTTATATAAATAACATAGCTTATTCATGTAGTCATTTCAGTTTGGAAATTATTAGCTAAGAAAGCTACTAAGTGGTCTTGTATATATATGCTGCTTCTTTCTTTTTATTTAATTTTCTTATGTCTTTATTTTATCTTGAGAGACAGACAGAGAACAAGTGGGGGAGGGGCAGAGAGAGAGAGAGAGAGAGAGAGAGAGAGAGAGGAAACACAGAATCCGAAGCAGGCTCCAGGCTCTGAGCTAGCTGCCAGCACAGAACCTGACATGGGGCTCGAACCCATGGACTGTGAGATCATGATCTGAGCCGAAGTCGGACGCTCAACCAACTGAGCCACCAAGGTTGCCCCTATGCTGCTTATATCTTTAGAAGAGAGAATAGATGTCCATCTTTCTGCTAAACTATTTTAATAACAGATGACAGAATAATGTCGATTTTACCAAGTACATAGTATAAACAAAAAAACATTTTTTGGTTAAGAAGTATCTTTTAATTGATGGAAAGTGGCCTATTTTTATTTTAACTTTTTATTAAAAATTTTTAAATATTTATTATTTTTGAGATAGATAGCAAGTCAAGAGGGGCAGAGAGAGAGTGAGAGAGAGAATCTCAAGCAGGCTTCTCGCTATCTGCACAGAGACCAACACAGGGCTGGAACCCACAAATTGTGAGATCATGACCAGACCCAAAATTAAGAGTCAGACACTCAACCTACTGAACCACCCATGTGCCCCAGAATGTGGCCTGTTTTTAAATGTTAATATATAAAGAGAGAATAAGATTACAGTATATATTGTATTTTGGATGATTTTATGTCAATGTTATGAAAGTTCTGATATTTTGTTTAACACAGAAGATAGGTTTATGAAGTTTTGCTGCAGTTTGCTTCACTTTTTATTGAGTAAATATAAATTTGTAAATACAGCCCATTGTTTCACCTTGTTAATTAGGTAACACTTTGGCTAGTGGAGTCTTCCATTTCATTGATGGTGTTAATATTTCAGTAAATTGCTGAAAGTTTATCTTATTCTTTTTTTTTTTACTTTCTTAGAAATCAATTTAGTTGGTTTACTCAAGAGGTTCACTGGAAAATTGATATAAATTTGTAGCTATTGTAAATGTCGATAAGTAAATGTCAAGAAAGAGTAGCAACTGTGGCATCAGATTAAATAAAATCATTAATTCGCTGAAGACAAAGCCAAATGCATTGGTCTTCCCATTCCTCCCCCAAGGCAGTCAGCACTTTTTGCCATTTGTTATACCTTTTGCTAATCTCTTAAAAATAAGAATCCTCCTACTTAGTCATCTATTAAGTGGTTATATGACTTATTGCAGGAGAGGTACAGTACCTTAAATCTGAGTAGAGAACACCTGTCATTTCCTTAGATGCTTCATTTTTTTAAAAATAGAGTAAAGCTTAACAAAGAATAAAGATTTAAAAAAACTGCTCTAGGAATTAGAAGATACCTGAGTTTTCACCTCCTTGTGTCACTGAGAAAACTGCTGAACTCTAAGACCTTAGTTTCTTTATCTGAAACAAAGAGGTAGATTAGACAGAGAGCGTCAAGAGTTTCAAACTGGCAGTCTGAGGGCCAGAGTAGATACAGCTTATGTGGACCAATTCTGTTCCATGTCGCCACTTAAGTTTCAAATATCCTGTCTGTTTCCTAGTGGTTACAGTCTCCACAGCTTCCTACCACTTAACACGATGCTCCTCACGCATTTACCTAATCTGAGGGGCCCTGCGAGACATTCGAGTTGCAACCCCTGGACCAGATGGCACTCCCAACTTTCAAAAAATTCTTCATTATTTTGTGCTGCGACAGCATCCAACAGAACACTTAGTCATCATTCAAACATGTTATTAAAGATCTGGACACTGTTCCTTAATTTTCAGGGGGAAAAATGCTTTATTTTCTTTCTTCTTTAACTTGATATAAGTGGCATAGAGAGTTGGCAGATTTTTGTGTAGAATAAGAGAACATCAGAGGAATGTAGTCTTAATTCAGCTCGCTAATGAGAGCAATGGATTTCCCCGTCTTACTCTATAGGAATGTATTGAGCAACTGCTATTAAGCTGCAGGTTGTCTGCTTGGAGCACATTCCCACCACAGAAGCACTAGAACGGCCATGCTGCCCTGTCTGACTGCCCTGTGCTAGGCTTCTCTCATTCTTGTGTCTCCTGATTGACACTAACGTCAGCATAGTGGCAGGATCAATAGATGCCATTTTAATAGGCTTTTTTGACAGTTTAAATAGTCAACCCAAATAAATTTGCAAAACGAGTAAGCAGCCAGCATAGACAAAGCCCATTTATTTATTCTTGTAGTTAAGACATTCACTGTTCACCTGTTACACTAGTTATCCTGGGAGTATTCAGTCCTGGGCTTTATATGCTGGTGTGATCATCTAAAGATACTGGTTATGAATGCTCTGCAGAGCTTTCGGAAAGGAGGTTTAAGAAGGGGTCCTCAAATTTAAGAGATAAAAAGTAAAAAGAAAAAAAATTCACATGTAAAATAATGAGCTTAAGGTAAGTCCACAATTTAGCTAGATTGCTAATGTTTTTTTTAGGTTGGTTTTCAATATAGAAACAGTATATGATGTAATGTAAGCACACTGATAGTGTTTCTGGTATGACTTTGAGCTAGTCAAAATTTTTGAGACTCATTTTCAAGATACAGTACATATTTTAAAATTAGTTCCATTAGAAAGATAGTTTTTTACTCAGTGGGCAATTATTAAAAATTATAATATTTTTAAAATGCAATTTTTGTGCAATGCAGAAACCCTACAGTTTTTATAGAACCATCGTATTTATGATAAGTTAGTGAGAATAATAAGATTCGGAAATTCAGCATAACAAACTTGGCTAAATATGAATTTTGTATTTGAAAACATCAGGGGGAAAGAACACCAAACCATAAGCAAAATTAACAAATTAAGAATCACATGATAGAGAATTATAGATATCCCACGGTTGAATGTTGATTTGAATATGCATTAACAGTCTCAGGTTAAGAAAAAAAAATCATCTCTTGACAAAGCTCTGCTTTTGAAGAGATGGAGAATTCAGTTGTTAAAATCTTCTGACTTTTATATATTAAAGAAGCATCTTGGTACATCTCTGTTGAAGCCTGTCCAAAGCATTTGACATATTCACCAAGTCGTCTGTGGACTGGAGACTTCAGTTGTGTACCTGTCAAATCCCAAACATGTCTCAGGCTTTGGGACAAGTGCTGTCCCAGCTGACCTAGATGTGGACCAAAGCACGTTCCTTAATGTCAGACCACTGAAGAGTCTAACGGCGGGTAGATTAGACTGCAGAAATGAGCAGTGCTGCTGAGAGGCCCTCGAGTTCAAATCACTGTGAGCTGAACTACTTGAGGGACTTTTTACCCACCTCCATTTTGGTAATTGATATAAATACAAATTTAGATTTTTATAATTGCATGTGATCTTGATTTAGGTTTTTCAGTAAAGAAACTAAACTTAGTGTTCAGTACTACTTTTTTCAGTCCTCTGAAGGAAAAATGTTTTCCATTTTCTTTATGTGGAAAATATTTTGATTATATTTTGTTTTAACGTAAGTAAAGTGTCTATTTCTGTTTCAGAACAATACTTAAAACAATGATGGAGAAGAAAAATCACCTAGGTAAATTACTTGTTTCAGCAAGAAATAGATACTCACTTGATATTTATTTTCCTTGTTTTTTTCTTTTTTTTTTTTTTTCCTTTTTTTGTTAGGGGTGAAAGCATGTCTACAAAGAAAAGCATGTGAACAGGAGGAAAAGTATGAGATTCCTGAAGGACCACAGCGAAGCAGGCTCAACAAAGAACAGCTGGTATTTTTCTTTTGATACTACTTTCATTGTTCGTATTATGACTTAATATCATCACCATCAGGAAAAACTTCTCTTGCCCTTTCAACAAGTACAGGTGACTGATTAAAATTTTATTGTGCTTATTTCAAGCACTTGATTCTGAGAGATGATCACAATGAGCAGTAAAATCCAGAAGGTGATAATTTCATACTGTTAATGGATTGTTGGCATCTTGAACATTCCCATAAATCTTTCAGAATCTGGAGGGAAGTCTCAGATGCAGAAAGTCACTTGAAAGCAGACTTATGGCTGCTACTTGGATTTCGTTCCCATGTGTCCTTATTGGCACACACTGCAGGTTTAATAGATGCCATTCCATTATCCTATGTACATATATATACATATTAGAAATAACAAAGAAGAATTTTCATAGAAGGCAACTATGAAGACTTTTTTTTTTTCCAATAAAACATGAAGAAATGTGTTTCATAGCTAATTGGATCCCTAGCCATGGCGTCATAACATATCTGAATATGTTATGGAACTCTGGAGGCCACACTACAGGCTGTCCTGGAGACCTGAGGTTGGTAACATATAGGGACCTGAGTAAGGATGGGCAGAACTGGATAAAGATCCACAGATGATGTTACTCATATAATTTTATTAAATGTAGCCCAGGGTCCCTGAAGCACATTTCACATACCGTAGGTATTCCTGGGGCTTTAAGTCCCACCAAATATGAATAACATTCTGTTAAAAGAAGTGTGATGAGCAGTGTTTGTTTGCTGTTTAAAATAATATACACATACACGCTCACACGCGCATATGCAAAGCACGCCTAAAATCTGAGGAGAGTAAAGTATCTGAGATGGTGATTTAGGAAAAAAATTGTAAATAGGAAATTATAAAGTGTAAGTCTTTTTCTTGACCCAAATAGTGTGCTTGAAATGCAGCTTATCCCAGCACTTCTTTTAAGCAGCTTCTTAACTGCTCATAACTATTTATCTTTATTTTCCTCATTCCTATGCAGTGTTTTTAAATGTTTTGATCTGCTTTTAACAAGTTTTTTCTTGTTATTTCAGTTGCCGAAGCTGTTTGATGGCTGTTACTTCTATTTTGGGGGAACCTTCAAACACCATCCAAAGGACAACCTTCTTAAGCTTGTCGCTGCAGCTGGGGGCCAGGTCCTCAGCAGAAAGCCCAAGCCAGACAGTGATGTGACTCAGACCATCAATACAGTCGCATACCATGCGAAAGCTGACTCTGATCAGCGCTTCTGCACGCAGTATATCATCTATGAGGATCTGTCTAATCATCGCCCAGAGAGGGTGCGGCAGGGCAAAGTCTGGATGGCTCCTTCCAGCTGGTTTATAGATTGTGTGATGTCCTTTGAGTTGCTCCCTCTTGACAGCTGAATATCGCACCAGATTAACGTTTCAAATTGAACTTACACAGTGTGAGAACCAGCCATTGCACTGTTTTGATCATACACATTTTTACAAATAGGCAGACTCATTCATGCATATTTCTTCCTTGAATTTAAAAAAAAAAAAATTTATGCCAGATTAGGAATTCCTTCTGTGTTTACCATTTAGATGCTGAGATTGCTTTGAAAGATTTCTCTTAAAACTGGTGTGTGTTTTGATTCATCATGTCTTTTTATTCAGATTATCAGCTATCAAAGATCAATGAGAGACTTTTAGAAATAGGATCATTACCATCTCAGTCTTTTAATGTTCTTTGATGAAAAAATCCACAATTGCTACCAGCAAAAATACTTCTCATCCTTTGGTAAACCAGGAATATTGTCAAAAATAATCGATTCTGGCTTTATTGTAATGAAAATAGAGTACCTGGTCTGAATGTACCACCACAGGAGTTAAATTCTTCTGTCTACAATTGTCATCTTACATTGTGTTGAGTTTCTTATACTTTAGGTGGATGTCAGTTCCCACATTTTTGTCCCTTTTTATCTTTTCATCAAGAAATCATGACTTAAACCAGAACATTATTCTTTTGTGGTGAAAAGATTGGGCTCATGGTACATATTTTTATTGTGTATACTTGCTTATTATTAACTATCACTTTGTAACTGAGTTTCTCTACAGTATATGTATATATATACTTGGAGCATTTTCTTTAACACGTTTTAGTATCAATATTTCTTAGAAGGTCTTAACAGACTAGCAAATTTTCAATCAAATATTAACAAATTAGGAAGCTGTCTTTCTCTGGTAGACCTTGCTACATATTGCTAAAATAATTGTTTTTGAAGGTCTTAATTTCTTTTTTTTGTAAAGTTTTTTTTTTTTTTTCTCACTTTTAGATTGCTGTGAAGGCAGAAGTTGGGGATTACTTGATGTAGAAAAGATTTTTGGCCAGGTGATACAAAAGGCCATAACAATAAGTCTAAGGGTAGGGTTGGGAAGGACTTACTCCTGATACCAAGATAGTCAAGGCTTGAAAAAAGTGGACAGGACACCCCCTGAGAACTGGGGTGGTTACTCTGATCGAAGTGTTCTCATTTGTGAATGAATCGACAAGGTAAATGAGCTCATTTAAAAATATTCTTAAGGAAGCAGAATTCTTTAATAAGTATCCCTAGAAATTGAATAGATTACTAATATTAAAGGCATGGGAAGGGAGACACTGTGGACCCAGCCAGGTTTGGTCCCTGGTGGCTAGAGAACAGTTTAACTCCTGGATAGAGTCTGAAGTTAATAAACATATTAAAATTCATTTATTTGTAAGTTTGGAGGTCTGCTGATTACTTCAAAATAAATTTTATTGTAATTCCTTCATTGACGTGTTACTTTTCCATATCAAGAAATATATTATGTAAATGCAGTGATACACTGTGGACCCTGACCTTCAAGGATGAATTGGCTCTGAAAATGCTCTCCAACCAGTAATGTGTTTGTCCTACATTTCATCCTAATGGAGAATGATGAACACCATAGCACCAAACAAATCTGAGGGGTTAGATAATGTCTGGATTAAATAATTTAAGACTCTCTGGGATTTGGGTTGTCATTTTTGATTTATAACTGACTTTTAGTCACTTTCTATTGCCTCATCGGTCACATTCCTAGACAGGTTTGTGTCTGTTCCTCTGATTTGAATCCCTGTTTGTAAAACAACTGAGAGGGTTGCTGCTCACTCTCCTTCATTCGTTTTCTTAGCTTCACCCCCCTCCTCCTTTGTTGTATTTTGTCCCCCACTATTAAGCAGTTTTTTGTGGTTTTCCTTCATTTCTTTCAGTATTTATTTTGACAGTAGTTGGTTGATGTTAAGCTCCTAAATCTTGTGAGTTTTGTATAGATATACTTGTAACTGTTTCCATTTTTCAATCATAGATTCAAGCTTCCTTTTTATTTACTACAAATCATTAAAGTTATTTGTGTTTCTGTATCTCTGTATCTTCTATAGAGGTAGCTCATTCTGTGCTGTTGAAGAAGGATGCTCAGCAAGACCTGCGAGGAAACCTCTCAGCTAACAAAAGCTTATCTTTTGGAACACTAACGCAGTGCAATTAATTTTAGAAAGAAATATTTCTAAGGTCTATTAGGCACTTTATTACTTTAAATAAATTTGTCTGAATACAATGTAACCTTGATAGTTGGAATCCTCATTAAGAGCATCAGTTATTGCAGGGTGATTTCTTCATGGTTCCATTAGAGCCAGAGGTAGGTGGCTTGTCCACAGCGTTACACATGGCTGCTTTCTAGTTCTGCCTACATTTTGTCTTTTTTTTCCCCCTTGGCAGCCACTACTTTGTCGCTACTTATCTGTTCCTATTAATACTTTACCCTAATTACTTTTTTTTTCTTTTGACTTGCTAAGGAATGAGAACCTGGTAGGAAGTATATTAGAATTAGGAGCAAAATGGGGATAAATAATGTGTGAGGGTCCCCATCTGTGTGGCCTCCCCTGTCCATTCAGCAAACACTTGGTCTCCCTTTCATCCCATAGATGCATTTATTTTGGATACCAGGATTGCTTGGGCCTCCACACTGAGATATACACCCCTTTATTATTTACTTGGGTTTTGGACATACTAAATTAATCTACAACCCAGAAAAATCACTATTAACATTCTTGTCTTTTTTTTTTTTTTTTTTTAGGTCTTCCAGTGCACACACATAGAGCTCTTATAAGAATATACTTTCACTTCCATACTTTTCCCACATGATTAAATATGCTTGTATGTAATTTCCAATAGTTGTATGGTAGTCTGTCAATAGGATGGTGATAATTTAAATCCCTGCTATTGCATATTTGGGTTACATCAGTTATAGATAAGTCTATATAAACATTGTTATGGTAAACATTGGTCCTGAGGGAAGGAGGAGGCTTTCTTTACAATATCAAGCTAGGTCACCACCTGTCGTTATTATCTCTACAAAATGTAGTGTGCACCCTACACAATTAAATTAAGATCTATAGTTATGAAAAAGAAAATGAGCCTCAGTTGATTGTCATGATTTTCATGAAATGATGAGACTTTGCACATAAGCTTCAAAACGCTCCAGCTTTTACAGTTTAGAAACTAACCAGATAAAGGAAGGGGGGAGAAAAGGATCTTGGGTCTTTTGATAGAGATCTCTGAGATCACCTTGCCTGTGCTAAGATGAGGAAACAGATTCAGTGAACTCTTAGAATCACTCATTGCTGCCAGGGCTCAGATTAAGCACCTGTGTTCCTTGCCTTCTTCCAAACCACCTCCCAAGCTACGTTGCTTCTTTAAGTAAATCAAAGTGTTTGCTATTATAGGAGCCTGTGATCTTATACTTAAATGAGCTTATTGGACTGTTCTGTGACATCAAGAAGGGGAGATAACATCTACCCCAAATGGGCTACAGCCCCCACTTCTACATCAGCAGATATTATTAATTATTACATCTGTTTTTGAGACCAAAAAGAGTCTTAAAATCTTTCTCAGCTTGTGTTTCAGGCAGCCACAACCAATTGGTGAAGTTGGTTTATCAGAGGAAGTATTTACCATCCCTAAACTGAACCATGCCTTAAAAATTTAAGTGATCTTCCTGTGTTTGTTACCTTCCCCACAGCATGCCAGAAGCATAGGGACATATTCTAGTCAGTCTGTGGCGTGGTACAGAAACTAGCAGGCCATGTCCTCTTAGTTGGGAGGTAAAGGGGTTAAAAAAAAAAAAAAAAAAAAACCCTCCAAGATAAGGAAAGAGTAGGAAGGAGAAATATATTTGAAAAAGCTTTCTAGGTGATTCTTATGCTAGCACTTAACACAGCTGCAAGTCATTGCCTGGTACCATTTATTGTTGGAAATTTTCTTGCAAAATTGTGTTTCTGATTCAGGCACCCAGTGCAATGCAAAATGGGTGTGTGTGTGTGTCCGTCCAAATGTGACCATATATTATGTATATAATGGGTCTGATTCCCCAAGACAAGCATTTCTGAAGCTGAGGCATGTGGACTTGGATGGAGAATACGATGATTCATGTGCCTTACCATTGCTATTGCTACTGTTCCCATTGTAATAATGACTTCCTTTTCCTGTGAGTGCTGATGTTCTGACACCTGGTGGTAAGTTGGATTATTTTTCTGGGTGGTGGATGTAATGATTAGCAAGGGTGATACTTGATTCATTTTAAAAGGGAATTATTACAGTCTTAAAAGTAAACCAAGTCTGAAGATTTTTTTTTCTACTGACCTTTCTTTTGCAGCTATGTGACAGAAGCACAAAGGGTAGGGTAATTGACTTTCAGTAAGTATCCTCTTAGTTAAAGGACTATGCAAAGATTCACTGGCATTGTGCATAGGAGTTTTCTCTTTTTTTGAAAAAATATATATCTGGCTTTAAATTTTCAAAAGAGGTTGAAAAGGAGTCTGATACTTATTTACTCACTAATTTTTACGATTCATTGGATATTTATTGGGAAGCTACTGGAGATCAGGCTGTGTTCACTTGGAACGACTAAGATGGATAAGACACAGCTACAATCCTCAAGTGGCTTACAGTCTACAGGAGAGCCAAACAAGTAAAGAAATAAAGTGGAAAATAAAGATTGCACAGGCATTGCTCTTGGTAAGGCAGGACCCTGAGACATATGCAGGAGGAATGCCTTGGTGGCGTCCTGCACACCAGCGGGCATGTCTATGTCAGGACATACTCAATTTTATTTAATGTTTATTTATTTATGAGAGAGAGACACACACACAAAAAGCATGATCAGGGCAGGGGCAGAAAGAGATGGAGACACAGAATCTGAAGCAGGCTCCAGGCTCTGAGCTATCTATCAGCACAGAGGCCAACACAGGGCTCAAACTCACGAGCCACGAGATCACGACCTGTGTAGAAGTCGGAAACTTAACCAACTGAGCCACCCAGGCACCCAGGACATACTTCTAGAAGTCTACCACTCCCGCTTGACAGAAGATACAACCAGTGTTTGCTCTGGGTATAATCAAGTATTTTTTAAAAGGGTACCTAGGACCCATTCTTAGGATCAGATGACTTAATATTCGTCATTATATTCACTAAGCATTTTTTTTATTTCCCTTGAGTGATATTCTTGTCTTTTGCAGAAGAGAATGACATTTTATCAATATTTTATTAGAGGATTTTTTAAAATTATTTTTTCCTTTCATTAAGGAGACAAGTCAGAAATAGGAAATGCAGCTTGCTGAAACCATGAATAGGAAATGAGTTTTTCGCTATCAGTGTTTAATTTGCTAAGTTAGCAAGTTTAATCTCAAGATAATTTAAACAGTAGTTTGAAGCTATCTAGATTTATTTCCTCTACCTTTTTGAAAAAAAAAATGCATCATTTTAATATTCATACTGGTTTTCTATAAACTCAGATGTCATTAGAAGGAAGGTTTTCTTTTTTTAAATGTAAAAAACATTTTTAAATGAATGTTGGTATTTTGAAATTTTCCATTTTATAGCAAAGTAATTTGTGTACATAGTTTAAAAAATGAAATAATGTTACAGGATTTAGACTGAAATGCATTAGTTTCCTATATGTCCTACACTCCTATACTTCTGAGTTTCTACTCAGAAGCAATCACTTTATACTCTGGTAGGAGTTTATATCAGTATTTGCCTTCTACACAAGTAAGTATGCATGTACTGCATTCTTGTGATTAATCTATGTTAGGCATCTGTGATCTCCTATTATGGTGGCTCATTCATTCATTCATTCATGCATGCATGCATGCATCCATTCGTTTTTGCGCTCCGAGATTCTTCTTTCCTTTCCAAATCTTTCCAAATAGATAACTTAAATTTCTTCTTGGGCTTTCACAATGACGGCTATGGGACACATTCCCTGATCTTCCAAGATTTTTTGTAGTGATTGCATTTCCTTTTTATAAACCTTTTTGTTTTTCTTAAATTTTTAAGTTTTTTAAAAAAATTTAAGGTTTATTTATTTTTCAGAAAGAGAGTGTGTGCAAGTAGGATAGGGCAGAGAGAGAGAGGGAAACACCAAGTCTGAAGCCTGCTCCAGGCTCTGAGCTGTTAGCACAGAGCCGGACGTGGGGCTCAAACTCCTGAACCATGAGATCATGACCTGAGCCGAAGTCAGATGCTTAATCAACTGAGCCACCCATGTGCCCCAAATTTTGTAAGTTTTTAAATCTCTGTCTAAAGGTTTGAACCTATGTCTTCATCTTCAACTACTTTCTGACATCTTTGAAAAAAGTCTCACAATATTAATTTTTCTCTGAGACAGAAACTTATTTGGATAACAGACCAGCTTCAGTTTTTCCTGGAAACATTCCTCCTGAAGGCTTCTTCTCTCTCCAGTATGAACTGGACTGCTTGCCAGTGAAATCTATTTTACCTTGTGACTTCCAGCTTTCCCAGATCCTGGAAAACCCCTTTACTTCTCTCCTCTATTGGTTGAGAGGTCCTTGTTCACTGCTTTACACATTAATCATGATGAAGCATATCATCCAGCAGCTTCGTGAGAAAGAATACAATCTGCACATATTTTGGCTGAGAAATGTTTTCATTCTGCTATCACTCATAACTTTGGTTTGGTAAATAATTCTTCTGTGGCAATTGTTTTCCCTCAGAGTGAGGTTTTGAGAAGTGAATTAGCATCTTTTGTCTATGCCCATCTGCAAGCACTTGGTTTTGACCTTCCTTATCTATGAAGTGATTTTCCCCTACTGTATGTTGTGTTGAGGGTTCCATCAGATTACTTGGTGGTTTTTACCCAGAGGTAGCTGCAGCCAGTGAACCAATGTCTTTGACATTTGTACTCATTCTTCTGAAAATATTTTATATATAGTTATATATAACTATATCTTTTACATCAAGTTGGTAAAATGATGTTTTGTTTTACTTATGCTATTTGGAAATAATTGGACATACTCCTGTCTTAAACAGTATAAGCTGACCCTTTGACCAAAAAAAAAAAAAAAAAAAAAGCGGGGAGGTGGGGCTTGTTAGTCATGTGGGGCTTAGAGCAACTTACTAACAGAGCTTATAAACAGTCTCTTTTCTGAATGATGATTTTAAGTGAATCATTTCCTGCCCAGATAAGCCCACTGATTCTATTCATAGTATTCTGTAT